TATATATATATATATATATATGTGTGTGTGTGTGTATGTATATATACACGCGTATTACACACATTATTGCAAGATAATGACGATCAAGATTGCACATTTGGGCGTGTTTGATATTTCATAATTTTCGGCATGAAAATGATCTTAGAATTTCGCGGATTGGTAATTACATCTGAACACGCAAATGTTGTTGCAATAGAGATGCTTTAATCTAAAGCTACGTTTGATTTGTTGAAAAATATTATAGTTCTTATTTTTTTTTTAGCAAAATATTATTTATTTATAAATTATTATTGAGATAAAAAGTACTTAGTTTTATAGGATGTTTTACTAGTATTTCTTTTTATGCAATACATTACTAATAAATATCATTATTCATGTACATGTAACACATAGTATATGGTCTTTAAATGGAATCATACCTGATTTTTTCTATTAATTGCGTTCTCTAATTTTTTAAATAAAGCCTATACAGTTCTCACGATAATACATGCGATGGAGGAAAAACTGAAAGAATTGATGAAATGGAGTTTCTCGACGCTTAATAGCGTTTTTGATCACAATCAACTGCATAATGTGGTTTTTTTCACTTTTATATTACATATTGTTTGAATATTTTTCACACTGTTCTGCAATGTTATGGAATTCATCTGAAATACATGTATATATTTACAAAGAACAATTTACGATTGTTTTTTTTTACGTATTTACGAGTATCACAAGACCGGACAGTTTATAAAATTCGTTAAAAGATCGACAAATTCGATAGGTTTGTCTGCGTGAACCCAATGATCTGCTCCATCTATGTAATGAAATTCCGCCAAGGGGAATAGCTTCTTAATTGCGTCGTGATCTTCTACTCGAATATAGTCACTGTTAGCACCACCTATGAATAACGTCGGATTCGCATAGATCCTTGAATCTACCTTGGGAAATACAGCTATCTGAGTTGAGAATGCTTGCTCCAATACCGGTAAATTCACTCGCCATTTGTACTTTCCCGAATTCACTTCTACCAAGTTTGCTATTAAGAACTGCAGAGAAATGTACTACAGATACTTTCTCATTCTAAGCGTAAAACGAGAAGCAATAAAATATTACCTGACGCAATGCGCTAGATTTAATAGACTGTTCAAGTTGTTGGTCTACTATTTTACGAGCTTTTGATAAGGTAGGACTTCCATCTGCTGTTGCTAAATTCATTACTTCAAAGATTTTCTTTATCTGCAAGAGACTAGGACTGGTTCTTATGGGAGACATATCAACAACTGCTAATTTCTCGACGCGTTGTGGAAAATTTAAAGCAGTATACATCATAGCCGATCCACCCATACTGTGGCCAACTAGAATAGCTCTCTCAAAGCCTAGATCATTTAAAAGCTGTATCACATCTTCTGCCATGTTCTCGTATGACATATTTGATGTATGCGGAGAATCACCATGATTTCTGGCATCTACTACTATGACCTATTGTGCAATAATTTTCTTAAGAATAATACAAAGATATATCTTTTGCAGATATAACTAACAATATAAAGAATATATTACATTCTCAAGTAAAATATTAAAAGATTTTTATCTGAGATTGTAAAATTTGAGTGTTAATTTATATATTACTAGAGTGAACTACCTTGCGTTTGGTTTTTCGATGAATTGTTTTTGATAGTGTATTCCAATTGCTTTTCGAGCCAAAGAGACCATGCATTATAACAATGGGTTGCTCTGCATTTTGATTCCGTTCATTTTCCTTTACCGATTCATACGAAATATAAGCAAGTTTTACCGGAGCCGTTCTAAAAAGAAAAAAAAATAGGTTAAGAACAAAAATATGCAAAAGAAATTAAGCCAATGTACATTTAACGAATACCTACGATAAGGGATTATTATGCAAACATTGGCGACAGGAAGAATGTAAGTTTTTACCCGAACGAGATAAGTCGGTAGTAAGTCCTCTCAACGTAAGAAGTACCGATAAATTTCGGCCTATCATTATTAATATGATGGTTACACTTGAATATATTTGCCCGATATGTTTATCTAATAATTATAGAGACCTGTTATTGTTCGCATAATTACTATTTATAGAATTTTATTTAATCATAAAAACTGACTGTTCTTCGCGCGGACCGAAGGAATATAGTTTCGGATCTATTTGTAACGTGTCAATCAGTTCAACAGCTTTAAGTGTTTGCGGTTAAGAGGTTAAACCACACGAGATCGGCCGGAAATATATAAGGAGAGAAAAGGAAATATAAGGACACATTAATTATGTGAATGATAGATAAATAATTATGAAATAAAAATTCATAAATATATCATTTCAGTTACTGGAGCGTCATCACGCGCCGAGCGCAGAAGAAAAAAATCTGAAAAACTTCACAGTGACATGGGGTCTATCGTTCGCATAATTTGTTCTTTATAGCTAAACTGGCTGCACTCAGAACTTATCTTTCTCCTTCAGATGTTGGAGAGAATTCCATGGTCTTTAAACAAATCTTGTATTATAATGTCCCAATATCGAAGCCAATAGAGAATGGGCCATCTCTCTATCTCTGTTAATGTCTTGCTTTCTAATCACAGCTGCTTTGACACAATCCGACTCTTTAGTTCTTTAGTATTGCACAAATCTAACGTGATCAAAACTCAGACGATAGGCAGAATGGTTCACATTCCCAAAGCTTGGAAAAACATTTCTGTCAGTGGGGCTATAACGCAATGTCACAAGGGCATAAACATCAAGGGTCGTTGCATGCAAGCTCATACAAATAATCAAGATGGAAGTTGCAAAGTATACTAATTACTATAGACTTCAAATAAAACAATTTCATGATTCTAAAATCAAATTTTCATTATCCAAGCGAATTCAACACAGAAAGGGTATACCACTGTATGCAAAAACGACACACTCATTTCTTGCTTTTATTGATTACTATGAACAATGTTTTGTATTATGACATTAAATATATTATTCTATGGGAAATAAAAAAGTAATATAATTGTTCATAATTTTAGTTTGTTTTCCTGTCTCTTATTTCGTGTATACATTTAAGAGTAATATAGTTAATAAGAGAATATTATTAATAAGAATATTATTAAGTGTAAGAAAATTTTATAATATAAAGTTTTTGTTTAAAAAATAAGAATATTTGTACAAAAAATACTAAATTTATGCATATATATGGCAAATATATGTAAAGCAAATTTCTCTGAATAGATTTATACACAAACAAATTTATATTCTTCTTTATCAGACATTCCTGTTGAAACAATACAAAATAAAACCATTAAAGTATATGCTTCCTCAAAAACATCCTGACATCAACCTAATGTCAGAACAACATCGGCAACATTGATGCCATATTGTAAGATCAAATGTAACTATTGTAACAATTGAGTCATTCATTGATGAGACATGGCACAAGATCACAACACGATCGTAAACACTCCTTCTCGCGTGATATCCGATAAGGATTACAATGGATTGATGGTTTGTGACAGATACGTATCGACTGAATTACTGGCTGAAATCTTCTGACGTGCCGATCATGGGACCCTCTCTGCCAATTAGTATGCAAACACTGGAGAATGGTGATACAAAATTACGTCTGGTGGAGAAAGGCGGGTTTAACACTGGGTATACTGTTCCCACGTTACGAGGAGATACTTTGTCAAGTGTTCCATCTCATATATAAAACGAAACCACCATTGGGACCTATTGAAAAATCATTTCAGTGAGGGGTTCATTAATAATTGGCAAATTTTAAGCGATGGCAACGGTCATTAATCAGTCAAGAAATCGCCCATCGGCGTATCTGGAAATATCATTGACTGAACTGATATTTGAAGGAAAACAGTACTGTTCCGCAATGTTTTTTTACAAGTTTTGTATCGAGAGATAGTTGCAGTTTAGTACCATGAGACAGTGGTTGATCTAGTGGCCGAAAGATTCCATCCGCATATCCTGGATGTTTTGCAGCCACCTATAATGGTATCGTCATCGCTAATTGCAATGAGTTATTTAATTCAAAATAATGTATAAAATTCTGTAAATAAAATATATAGAAGTTATAATACCTTGTATATTATGGACGAGTGAATGGTATAGCCAAAAGGGCTGCCCAGCAATATGAATGTATATATGAATGCCTGGTTGAATTGTCAGGAGTTGAAGAAAAGGATGACATAATGAAAATTTTAGATAAGTTTTCTATTTTGCGATACTATAAAAGCGGAGAAACAGAACAGATGGCAATACATGAGTATCCATGAAATAATTTTTAATTTCACTTAACGAGTTTAAAATATATTACCTTTAACTTTTGTTGTTTTATATGTTTTTCATGCATGGACAGATATCATGTATATTTACAAACTATGGACATAGTCTGAGAAAGATTGCCTTCATGCATACTGGAATGGACAATTCACCACCTGAAGAAAGATATTGTGGTAGCAAAATGGCTGGGGCATGTGTATACATATAAAGATTCCTCTGATTATCACATATATGACAATGCAGAGGTTCACCACTAAATCTAAGTGTACAGAGATATTATTATAAAACAACAAAGTTATATTGTTTAGAGTAAAATTAATATATAAAATGTTAATGCATTTAGAAAATTATGTAAAAAAGAGAATGATGTATTAATTAATAAAAACTAGTTTTTCCAAAGAATTTATCTATTGTCAAATTCTAGATTATTAGTTATTGATTCTATCTACCAACATATAATTTTGTATATATAAGAGAAACCAATTTTTAATAAAATAAAGATATGTTGGGCGAAGACATGTATTTTCCATATACAATATAAATAATACGAATGTAACTGGAAAGCTATTTTGATCAAATTATGCGATGCGAAGTCTTGATGGCACAACTACTCCTTTGGATAAGGCTCATGTAAATTATCCAAAATGTTATGATTTTCTAATCAAATAAATACATGCTCTTTAACAGCGATTAAACTTCTATTTTCTATTGATAGCAGTTCTCGTTATATCTTGATTCAACATTTTAAATCTTACTGTATTATATATGTCAATGGCTGCGGTCGGGAAGATGCTAGAAATGCTTCGAAGCTTTTGATTGACCAATCAGGACAAAAAGAGTAAAGATTTATTTATTCTGATTGGTTAATGCAATGCTTCGAAGCATTTCTAGCGTCTTCCCGACCGCAGTCAATAACAATGAAATTAGAACTATCGCACTATCGGTGACACTAGAGCAGAGAGAAGATATAATAGAGGGCGGGAGTCAGCTAAAGCCCGTATCAGACTACGCATTAGATTGAAGATTTGAAGATCGAAGATTGAAATTTGACCAATCAGGACAAAGAAATTTTAGTCCTTTTTGTTCTGATTAGTCAAATTTCAATCTTTAATCTTCAATCTTCAATTTTCAATGCGTAGTCTGATACGGGCATAAAAGAGTATCAGGCAATTAGAAAGAGACGAAGTCAAGTGACCTGGCTGTCCTTGTCTGTTAGCGCATGCGCAGAGTAGAGCGTACAGAGTCCGGAGAGTACATTAGCGTAGTAAAAAATATTAGTTATATTTTAAAGAAAATTAATACAGATTTTTAAAAATCTAATAAATGTTTTGTTATGACAGAAAATCAGTTAAAATTGATTAAAAAACGTATTTTGCAATATATAAGTAGACAAAAATTAAACCATAAATAAATGTAATAATTATAATTTTAAGTGTTAATAAACGTAAATTTTAATTTACATTCACAAATTATTTTAAAAATAAATTAGTTTCTTAATGATCAAATTATCACTTTTCACGTTTCCGCCCTAGGGAAAAAGTTACATGATCGATACCCTGGGCTGCGTTCAGCCCGTATCAGACTACGCATTGAAGATTGAGATTGAAGATTGAAGATTGAAATTTGACCAATCAGGACAAAGAAATTTTAGTCCTTTTTGTTCTGATTAGTCAAATTTCAATCTTTAATCTTCAATCTTCAATTTTCAATGCGTAGTCTGATACGGGCATAAAAGAGTATCAGGCAATTAGAAAGAGACGAAGTCAAGTGACCTGGCTGTCCTTGTCTGTTAGCGCATGCGCAGAGTAGAGCGTACAGAGTCCGGAGAGTACATTAGCGTAGTAAAAAATATTAGTTATATTTTAAAGAAAATTAATACAGATTTTTAAAAATCTAATAAATGTTTTGTTATGACAGAAAATCAGTTAAAATTTATTAAAAAACGTATTTTGCAATATATAAGTAGACAAAAATTAAACCATAAATAAATGTAATAATTATAATTTTAAGTGTTAATAAACGTAAATTTTAATTTACATTCACAAATTATTTTAAAAATAAATTAGTTTCTTAATGATCAAATTATCAATTTCGATATATTTTAATCTTTAAAGAAATCACAAAAATTTTGTTTATATTACTGTACAAGTAAAATATATAATTAAATTCAATAAACGATTTGCATATGATTCAAATAATAAAGTAATACGAAAAATATATTTCAATTAGATTGTTATTGCAACTCTCCAAGTCCGCTCTGCTGATGCTAAATATCAAAAACTGTGCATGCGCGAATAGACAATGACAGCCAGGTCACTTGATTCTATCTTTTTCTAATCGTCTGATGTTTTCACTTACACGATTACCTATGGCTCCCGCCCTCTATTATATCTTCTCTCTGTACTAGAGTCCCTCTAATAGCGTATTCGATTTGTTGACTCTACCCGACTCTGAGGGTGCCATTACATGGAGCGCGGAAACGCGGAAACGCGAAAGAGAATAGTAACCAGATTCCCGCGTTCCGTTCCGTCTGTTTTGATTGCCTTGTATTACACGGAGCAGACGAGCAGATTTTGAGCGGAAAAGCGGAACGGAAAATTATAAAATATTAATTTTTAACGATATTTATTGATTAAAATGCTTATATTCAATAGATAAGCTAGAAAGATAAGCATATTAATGAAAATTACAATTAATTAAGTGAAAACAATGTTAAAAAATGAATTAAAATATTTATTTGTTACCATATCATTCCGCTTTTCCGAGCAAATTGTGCTTCATGTAATATAAGGAAAAAACATTCGCGGAACGAGCGCGTCAAATATTAAGTGGATACAGTATATTCCATCAAATTTTGGAGACGAGTGAAGGAGAACGTATTTATATATTTCGATTATTTTATTATTTTAAAAGTAACAGTATAATAATGGATCCAAATATCATATTGATGATTATTATGAAATATCTCATATAAGCACGGAATGAACCGATGAGATATGCAGAGATCCCTTTCTAAAAAAGGCATGAAACCTCGAACTCGAATATATAAGAAACTGCAAGGCAGAAAGAACCGTAAAATATGGGTACGGCCTACTTTTACTAAAACAAGAAGACTTCTTCAAGGTGACAGCGACAATCTACTTGTGAAGATGCAATTGGGAGATCCTGAAAAATATTCCAACTATCTCAGAATGTCTCCAAAAATAACAAGCTACTATGTTTATTAAGTACTAAAAAGCATTCAAATACTTACAGGACCATCCATTTATAAACGTTTTATATTTTCTATACACTTTTGTCGAGTTTTGTTGAGACGGTAACGGATTCCGCGGATTCCGCTCAAATGTGCGGAAAGAAACGACTCAATTCGCGGAAACGCGGAATAGTTACTTTTCT